GCCTTCCTGCTACCTTTATCAGGTCGTCGGTCCACCTGGTGGGTGGACGTCTCACGCTGCATTTTCCGGTACGTGGCTTCCACTCCAGAACCTTGCTGTCCCATCGGCCGTCAGTTCTGCGTACTATGTGCCCTGCCCATTGCCATTTCAGTGCAGGACAGATTATGCTATAATTTACCGAAATCCACGCGGGTGGAGCCACAGCGAGCTAGTAAGGAATATGCTCCAAATTTTGTGTCCGATCATAAAAAATATCACTCAACTTTTAAGCGTCAGAAACATTGACCTACAAACCTGGATAAGGGAAACTTTATATTATTTCAGGACGTCATGTCATCGGGACTAGTCCCTCGGCTCCAATACGCCCGTTTTGTCCTTTACTTGAGAGAAAACAAGTGTTTTGAAAGGTTCTGCTTACGCTGTTCGAAATTGTATCGAGAATAGGTTCGGGGAAGTTTGGAGGTAATGTTTTATGTGTGTATTTTATGTTCATTACGGCGAACTGTCAAACCATTGCGTCATTTAGGGTGGATTCGACCAAAAAGAGTGAATATTAATCTCAGAATAAATCGTCAGTTTTTGACATAGGTATTTCCCATACTCAAACTATCAATGTGCCAGTTATACCACAGTTATAGCAGGAGTTATTCTTTGATAAAAGTTTGGTCGAATCGGGCCTTAGACAGATTTTTTTTATCTGTGTTGTTACCAGAAGACTGTTAATTTAGTATTAAGTACAAAAGATGTTTTCTCTGTAAGTAAATTGTAAATACTTTTGACAAATAAACGTCCTCATCTAAAAAATAAAAATAAAAATAATTTAAGACAGTTTTCACTTTGATGAATAATTAAATTGAGTTGAATTTTGAGAATCGTTTCGTAATATGCACTTAAATCTCGTTTTATGAAATGCCCAGAACTCAATTCAAACCCAGGCAAAGACATCGTAAACACAACAAAAACCTGTGATTGTTCAAAAATATTCGTTTGATTTCAATATTTTGAGTGTCATTTCGTAATACGGACTATATCTTGGGTTTCCATTTTTACGTTCATTCTTTTATAGTCATGCGATAATAATAACATTTTACTTGCAAATATTCTAGATTCTTTAGTTCTTTATTTTTCCTATTTATTTTCAANCTTTTCAAATGATCCGAATAGTAGTTATCTATTTCCTTTCAAGCTATTTGTACCTAAAACATAACTCAAAAAGCACTCGTAAAATCAGACTGCCAGATGTTACAAGCACTGAACCGTCTTTCCCGAGAGACGTGACGTCATCAATCAAGCAAACGATAACAAGCCAGTCTTCGTGATACTCTATATTTGCTATCGGCTTTCCAACCGAACAGTTTACACCCTCATCAAATGCTGGCCTATTGCAACGTGTCATTACGGGCTGACCACTCTTAGCTGACCCTTACTTCTGAAGAGCTTTCTTCCGAAGAGTCTGAAGATCAATGCCTATTTACGCTGGTCAGTTACTAAGCTTATTTGTGAGATGGTGAGTGCTATTAGTGGCAACAGACACGTGTCGAAACAATTGTTCGGGCCTGTAAGTGGATGAGGTGTTCGGGTATTCGGAATGAGGAGATGAATTCGGAGGTTGGCTTTGTGAGCCGGGTGAGGCTATTTGGAGAGGCTGTAAGCCGGTCAGCGAGAATGACTTTGTTTAGTGAGATTAAACATTACCGTTTTGGAAGTAAATTATGATGCTATTTCTTTACAACTTGATAACCCGGCATTGTCTGAAAGTGATCGGTTTTTAGCAATAAGACTGACTAAATTGTACTTTTTCAAGACTGTTTTAATGTTCATTTTTTGGGTGGTTAAGTTATGACCTAGTACTTAATAAAATTAATAACTCATTTCATCTAATTAGTTGACTTTGAAAATAGCAAAAGTAAATAAGCATTTCGACAGCTTATAAAAAGTGCCACGATTGATTGGAAACCGTAATTAAAAATGTTTTAATAAATCATTCTCAATAAAATTTATTACACTTTAATTTCCTGCAATTTGCAATGCGATGATTGACAATTACCACATATTACTGCCGAAATGCTACAGTCAATCCTGTTTGGACAACTGATTAATCTCATTTGCCCAGCCATCGCTCATCGGATTGGACGACTTAATCAGTTTGGGATTGCTTTGCGACTATCGATAATTTATTTACATGAAATAAACTAAGGTAAAGTTAAAAATTTAAATCTAATATAATTTACAATACCGGCTTCCCTAAACGAAATTAACCTAAAATCAAAATTAATTAAATATGCAAACACATAACTTTTCATTAAATAAATTAATAAAATTACTACTACATAATAACCAAACACACACACACACAATTTTCAGTTCCTACTTGCAAAATCAGTCAATAGATATGCATTGTATTTCCTAGCTGTATAATTACATACCTTATGTAAGTCATTGTAAATGGAGAGCGGGGTTTTCTAACACAAGTATCTCCTTATACTTAAAAGAAAACCCCAATCGAAACCCTGTTTAAATTCAAACCTGATTCTGAATAAACAATTTTGTATTGTATTTTTGTATTTGTATTGTATAATTTGCTGGACATTTTCGATTAATAAATATCGGTTCAAGTGCAGCGGTTCGTACAGACGAGCACTAAAATGTATTACGTAAATTATTCCGATGCCACGATGTAATAATGTTTTAATTCTAATGAAATACGTGATTGTCCATGGTGCTTACGTTAGTCATTTGTAATAGGCAATCTGGTGAATGCTGTAGGTGTAAATAAGTAAGGTCTAAATAAATGTCTACTTTTTCTGATCCCACCAGTGAAGATTATAGTCCCAATAGGATAATGAATTATACTTTGAAATGACAGATCCATACATATTAAGTTACATGTATCAACAATGTGAAAAAGAAAATATCAACCTTTCAAAATTTGGTTCACTTAACACTTTTGTCAAACAAACATGTTTATAGTTCAGCACGCAGCCAGTTGTTGCAGGTCTCTTGCGACGTATGAGAACGTTGGAATACAGGGGATTTTTTTGAGTACAAAATTAGGGGATAGGTCAGGGTATGCTGGTTGTGTTTATTGTTGGTGGGATTCGGGGCACGCGCGATACTAAGCTCCGGTGCGGGCGAATCGACTGCCGAATGTTAAGTAATTCCTGACGGCGCCTGATTCGTATGTTACACAGTACCTTGTTTTGGTACGTTAGTTTGGAGCCCGGCCTTTGAACTGTGTTTGTTAGAAAACTAAATGTTACAGAACGATTGCGCACTTATACGTTTTGTGTAATCAAACGATTGTATTACTTATCTACTTACCTATATCGTATTATACGCCACTTCAGTGCTAGAGTAGATACTGTGGTGCTAATGAATATGATAGGTCTGGCGCCAACTTGCGAGCGCTTATAAGATAGGATAGATCGTATTTACAAAAAAAAAACAATTCGAGAAAATGAATATTTATTCGCACGAGTCACGTTTACGTAATGATTAGATGACGTTATTCATTTGCAAGCCAGCGATGACGTAATTGACGGTCAGCGAGAGGATGGCGGGGAGAATGTACATGCCGACTGGTAAGGACTCCATCAGCTCTATACTGAGGGGCTCCACGGAGACCAGTCGGTGGAAATCCTTCAGATTCTGGAATTTCTCCGAATTTGCATCTGAAATAAGATTAATTAAAAAAATAGCGTTAAGAGTCGCATCTCAAATAATGTTTTTGATTTGAATTTAATATATTTTTTTAATGTTTGCTACAGTTTTGTATAAATCCTCAATTCTTTCATCACGCCCGTAGAATGGATTTTCAAAATACTATAACGCGTGTTCTTTTATTTCAATTAAGTCGAAATCTGGGGGCACGGCAGTGCCCCCACCAAGTCGAGCAAAAAAGCGGCACGGCCGTACCATCCTTTTCTCGAAGCAATTCAGGCCATTTTCGACCGCCTGTAACTTCGTTGTGGATAAAACTAGAAGGCTGAATTCTCATTAGCTATGCAGGCATTGNTTGTAACAACACGTATTGTTACTTCTCTTCATTAATTATTTTATATACATTATTTTAAAATTATATTCGTCACTGAGTTGTCTTTGGCTGTGACAGATGCCAAAGACAACTTTACTTTATTAATTCTCGGAAAAGTCGCAACTACTGCAATAGTATTTTTTCAAATAATAACTTGGCAACACTTACCGTGGACTTACTAATCTGTGCTTGGCCGAAATGGCCGGTCGGCCATCATTCGAGAACGAGCCGTCGTGCGGACAGGTACGTGAGTAAGATCTTGTACTAATTGTACTTTATTTATTGTAATTGATGTGACAGTGATTAATAAAACTGGTAACATCGCAATAATTGTTTGAATTGATGACCTTCCTTCTGAGGTGTTTTACATGTCAGAAGTGGGATCATACAGAACAAACTGTTTTGTAATACCACCCCACAAACTCAACGGTTAGTAAATATTTGAAACTTAGTTAGTTTTCCGAAATATGCATTGAGGAGGCGAAAATACATCATAGTTAGTGCATCCATGTTGTGTTACCCACATTTTGAACAGAGATTCAACCGATATAAATGGATATTTTTATTGTAATCAAAAAAAATATATAGATTTTGCTCGAAATATGCATTGAGGAGGCGAAAATACTTATCAATTAGTGCATCCATGCTGTGTTACCCACATTTTGTACAGAGATTCGCCCGATGAAAATGGATATTCTTTGTATTTTTTTTTCAAACATAAGTTTTGCTCAAAATATGCCTAGACGTGACAAAAATACTTAATAATTAATATACTCATGTTGTGTTGCTATCATTTTGAATAGGGATTCATCCGATGTAAATGGATGTTATTTTTATTCCCTTCTCTCAAATTTTGTATTTTTATTTTTTATTTTTTTTACTTAATTGAAACCGCAATCTGCAACGGAAATATTTTTCATATTAGTTCAACCTCATGGGTCTTACCCATATTTCGTTGTTTCTCGTTATAATTAAACAACCATCAATGCGATGTTAACAGATTAGAAACTAATGAAATTTGAAATATATTTTTAAGATAATAAGAAGACACTGAACTGAAATACTACCTCATGTGTGTTGTAAATTGATCTAATTATAGAACTGTGTCTGTTTTTAAATATTCAATCCAGTATTTTCGCCGATGCAAACGGATTGATTGTTACATTGATTTAAGCCATTATAATATGACAACGTTTACCATACCTTCTTGTTTTATAACGGTATATATAAAACAAACTGTTTTGAGTTTCAGAAAATGAATTCTGAATGCAAGAAAAGGATACATCGTTCTAGTGCAATACGAAATCGTAGTCGGGAGCGTGTGAGCGTCAGGCGGAGTTGTAGTCGGGATACGCGTGCGAGCGTCAGGCGAAGTCGCAGTCACAGCCGACGGGNGTCTACAAAATACAAAAAGAAATGAGATTTGGGGGCACGGTAGTAAATATATTGACTTGGCCATCGCATGAAAACACGTGTAAATTAAATTATTTAGTGCGATGGCCAAGTCAATAATTTATGTAAAACGTTAAAGATTTCCTGGCCTGGACTTGGTATTACATGGATCTCACAACTTTTTACCGTAGAACAACTGAGTTGCGAGACTTGGTTTTTTTGACAAGTATTGTTTTTGATGGGATACCGATTTCCCAAGCGGTTTACGTTTATACAACTACGGATTTTTGTACTAACGTTAATCATTTTTTTAAATTACGTAACACTGTTGCTTACGTTATAACGTAAATCCCACCAAAAACATTGTGTAAAAAACTAGCCAAGTCTCGATGGAGCTGCTTGTTTATCTCTAAAAAGTAATGAAATCTAGACAAAGTCGTGCCAAGTCTATGGTTCCTTACTGCAATTTCTTTATTATTATAGTTAATGTTGTGTGAGTTGGCCGTTGAACAATCTTTATTAAGATAATCATACATAAGTATTATTGAAATACGCAGCTTTATTAAACCTACAATTGACTGGTTATTGTTGAATCAACGTTTTACGTTTTAAGTCTCTAGAAAGGAAAATAATCTGGACACCGCTTGCTAGTGCTAGCGCCATCTAGCGGTGAGCGATACAGGAGAATACCACGGTGCCGGAGTAGTATTGATCATGAATGTGGTGTTACTTCAGATCTTCNCCGACGGGAAGATGACCGCCAAAGTCGGAGTAAGAGTAGAAGTCCTATCTTGCCAAGGCGACGCGAAAGACGTGTGCGTACCCCACCGAGGAACACATCTAGACCAAGCCGTATTGACGGAGAAACATACCCACCTCGAATATGTAGGGCACACCGTAGCCGAAGTCCTGTGAGGGGATTTAGTGATGCCGAGGATGGTATGGATATGGCCAGGAGTGCTCCTAGACAATATGCCACTGATGACACGAAGCCGGGACCGAAGTCAGCTGAGACGTCAACGTGAGCAGAGTGAAGAGTGTGAAGCCCTGAAAAGACGACTTGCAGCCTTGGAAAGTCAGTTGGGAAGGGAACGAGTGATCAATCAACGCAGAAGGAATGAGAATCGAGTGTCAGAGCCACGAAATAGCCCGGAGCCTAAGGANGGAACTATCAGCGTAATCGAAGCCGGGACCGAAGTCAGCTGAGACGTCAACGTGAGCAGAGTGAAGAGTGTGAAGCCCTGAAAAGACGACTTGCAGCCTTGGAAAGTCAGTTGGGAAGGGAACGAGTGATCAATCAACGCAGAAGGAATGAGAATCGAGTGTCAGAGCCACGAAATAGCCCGGAGCCTAAGGACTCAAGGTATGACTCAGCATCTTTATTTTTTAATGAGTTTGCAAAGTTCTTTAAAAATAAGCCTGGTGACCGTGAACACTTCCCATCGCACATGAATAATGTTATCCCTGAGTTTGACCCCCTTCTTAAGCAACAAACGATCCAAGTTTGGTTAGACAAGGTAGATGAGTGCGCCGAGATTTATGAATGGTCCGATAAACAGATAGTACATTACGCTCTTCCAAAACTGATAGGACATGCAAAGCTTTGGTATCAAGGCCTACCATCCCTAAAACGTACTTGGATGGAATGGAAACAGTTGTTAAAGGAGTCGTTTCCATCCACCGAAAATTATGCAGATTTGCTGACAGAAATGTTAGGGAAACGAGCACGATTTGGCGATAACTTTGAATTATATTATTATAACAAAATAAATTTGCTTAATCGCTGCAAAATTTTCGGTCCACAAGCTGTAGATTGCCTGATTCACGGCGTAGACGATCGTGGTGTAAGAGTAGGGGCTCAAGCAGCCAAGTTTAAAAAACCGGAAGATGTCTTGGAGTTTTTCAAATCTGTCCGGGACAATAATTTAAGACGTGATCGACAAACTATGAACTCCAACATGTTTTCACGGCCTAAAATTAGCGAACAACCTGGAACTTCAAAACAGTTAATTTCCTCACAGCCAATTGTTTGTTTTAATTGCAAGCAGAAGGGTCATCCCAGCTTTAAGTGCCCTAAGCCCTTGGTTAAGTGTTCTTTGTGTCAATTAATAGGCCATACAGCGGTAGAATGTCGTAAAAAGAATAATCCAGAGTCTGACAATAAGGATAAAACTGTTTTGAAGGTCCTGAAGGATCATCATGAAACAGAGGTTCAACTATCGAACTCAATCAGCACCGAGAAGGATTTAGCTGCTAAAAATAAATACAATGTTCCAATACAAATCAATGATCAAACTGTAGTAGGACTTGTAGATTTAGGTAGTGAGGCAACCTTATTACGTCAATCAGACGCTTTGCGATTAAAATTAACATGGGAACCAGTTGATGGTCCGTACCTACGAGGGCTTGGTAACATTCCATATCTACCAGAGGGTAGAACGTTTGCGACAGTGACGGTACAAGGCGTAGTAGAAAAAGACGTAGAGATATTTATTGTAACTGATCAATTAATTAATTACCCAATCCTCCTAGGGCACAGTTTTTCAGAACGTCCCAATTTACGCATAACAAAAACCGCTACAGAATTGATTTTTGATCGAGTCCCACTTACGGATACGGAGTGTCCATCTAAGGTTCCGTTGAGGGCAACTTGTGACGTCTTGATTCCTGCAAATGGCCTTAAGACTGTTCATGTTAAGTCCAGTGATGTCGTTAGTTTTAGAATATACGTACCTGGATCGGTAAGGGGCTGTTCTAATAGAGAGTATTATCTCCTACCAGGTGAATACCAGATCGTAAATGGAGAATGTCATTTGTTGGTTCATAATTTGTGTTCAAATGACATTCACTTACCTGAGGACACTCTTATAACGCGTGTTATTGCTTTGACCCGCGAATTAAGAATAAACTTGACGGAATACGATTGCAGTCCAGCTTGTACAATTAATTATGGTTCACAACTTTCGACCGAACATAAACACAAGTTGGACACGCTGTTGACTGAATTCAAAGATTGTTTTTCTTCTGGCATGCACGATTTGGGATTTACAACGGAAACAGAGATGGTGATTCAACTTAAGGACTCTGATCCGGTTGTCTACCGCCCGTATAGATTGTCGTTTAGTGAACGGAGGAAGGTACAGGATATGATTGACGAAATGGTAGATTGCGGGATAGTTCGCCATTCAAGTTCCCCATATGCCAGTCCAATAGTTTTAATTAAAAAGAAAACTGGGGACTTGAGGCTTTGTGTGGACTATCGTGCCCTTAATAGTAAGACGAAGAGAGATCACTATCCCCTTCCAAGGATAGATGATCTACTTGACCAACTTTCAGGACAAACTATTTTTACTACCCTTGACCTAGCCTCAGGGTATCATCAGATTCCGATAGCTAGTGAGTCTATAGAAAGGACTGCGTTCGTAACGCCGGATGGTCAATACGAGTATACTCGTATGCCATTCGGCCTTGCGAACGCACCCGCTGTCTTTCAGCGACTCATTCATAAGGTCTTAGGAAAAGCCGGAATAAAGCATACCATCGTTTATATGGATGATATACTCATTCCGTCTAAATCTATCGATGAAGGCTTAGACCGTCTAAAAGATGTCCTTAAGGCACTTAGAGACAGTGGGTTAACGTTAAAATTAGAAAAATGCCACTTCTTTAAAGAATCTATTGATTTCCTTGGCTTTGAAATTAGCAAAGGTGAGATAAGACCCGGAGCTCAAAAAACCCTAGCAGTTGCTCAATTTGCACCTCCACAAAATCAACATGATCTGAGGAGGTTTCTAGGCTTAGCTAGTTTTTTCAGACGCTTTGTAAAGGACTTCGCCTCTATTGCTAGACCTCTCACAGACCTTTTAAGGAAAAATACCCCTTGGCGGTGGTCACAAAATGAAGAGGGTGCCTTTATTAAGCTGAAAGATAATTTGACAAAACGACCAATTTTGGCTCTGTATAATCATGCTGCAGAGACTCAGTTACATACTGATGCGAGCCAAATTGGTGTGGCAGGCATATTATTGCAGAGATTAAATGACGAGCCATTTAGACCTGTAGCTTATTTCAGCCGTCGTACTACCGCTGACGAACAGAAACTGCATTCCTTTGAGTTGGAGACGTTAGCGGTGGTATTTTCACTCAATAAGTTCAGGGTCTATTTACTGGGCATAAAATTCACGATCTTTACTGACTGTCACGCTTTGCGCACTACATTTACAAAAAGAGACCTCATTCCCCGCATTTCACGGTGGTGGATCCAATTTTTGGAATATGACTGTAGTATAGAATATCGACCGGGTGATAGGATGGCCCATGTAGATTGTTTAAGTCGAAGTCCCGTAGAAACCGAAGAAAGTGACGTACATAACTTAGACGTATTGAGGGTAGACGCCGTCGATTGGATCACTACCGTGCAATCGGGAGATTCAGAGATCACTCGTATTAAAGAAATTTTGGAAGATCCGGAAACCGCAAAAATTGCTTCGATTAGAAAGGATTACAAAATCAAAAATGGGCGGGTCTTTCGCATTATTGATGACACAACTGATAGATGGGTTGTACCTAGAGCCGTACGTTGGCAGCTTTTACGGGCAAATCACGACGATGTGGGCCATTTTGGCTTTGAGAAAACTTTAGAAAGGGTGCGAGCTTCTTATTGGTTCCCAAAAATGAGGAAGTTTGTGAAGAAGTATGTCTCGGCATGCTTAGGCTGTGCTCATCACAAAATTCCTTCCGGGGCCAAAGAAGGGGAACTTCACCCTATTCCCAAAGTCGAAATACCCTTCCACACCGTTCATGCCGATCATCTCGGGCCCTTCGTTCGAAGCAAAAAGAGAAACGTGCACTTACTAGTCATAGTAGATGCGTTTACCAAATATGTAAATTTGACCCCCGTTCGTAGCACCAAGTCTAAGGCTAGTATTAAAGTATTCCGTCACTATTTCAGCTTGTTTGGTATTCCAACTCGCCTCATTACAGACAGAGGTACTAGCTTCACGAGCCGTAAATTCAAATCCTTTGTAGATGGCCACGGTATAAAACATATTATGAATTCCGTAGCCACTCCACGTGCGAACGGCCAGGTAGAACGGTATAACCGGACTATCCTTTCTGCCTTAGGAGCTATGACCCACGACAAAGGTGCTGAAACATGGGATGAATACATCCCAGATATTCAAATCGGGATTAATACGTCTGTTCATGCGGTTACAAAAAAAACTCCCACTGAGTTATTGTTTGGGCGAAACGTTTCGCACGCTTCTCAGGGAGTCTTAAATGATGTGGCTTTGCAAGCAGATAATACATCGGAAAAGACGTTAGACGAAGTAAGGGCTGAGGCGAGTAGTCGTATTGCTAAAAATCAAGAAATCAACAAAAGTCGATATGATCTACGTAGGAAAAGGGCTACTAATTATAAAGAGGGTGATTTGGTCAGGATAATTAAAGCTGTACCATCGGGCACCGGACAGTCAAAGAAATTAGAGCCCAAATGTCAAGGTCCATACAAAATTAAAAAGATCTTACCTAATGATAGATTTGTAGTAGTAGACACCCCGCTGACTAGAAAAGGTAGACCATACGAGGGTGTAATATCCATTGACAAAATGTTCCCCTGGCTAAGCTTTAGCGCGAATTATACGTCTAGTGAAGAGAGTGGTGAAGAATATGTCCCTAAACTAACGAAAAAGGGGTATTGTGTGACGGTCACTGGCAGCTTGTTATGTTACTTAATCAGAATTTAAATTTAATTTTAGTTTATTAATCGACTTTTATTTCTTAATCATGCTGAGTTGTAAATTGTTTATTTTTGATGGATTGATACTGATGAAATGATTAAGATAGAAATATTTGATGTCATTTGAGATGACAGAAAATAGGTGTCATTTGAGATGACAGAAAATGGGTGTCATTTGAGATGACCAAACTGAGTGTCATTTGAGATGACCAAACTGGGTGTCATTTGAGATGACCAAACTGGGTGTCATTTGAGATGACCAAACTGGGTGTCATTTGAGATGACCAAACTGGGTGTCATTTGAGATGACTAAAATGGATGCCATTTGAGACGGCTATAATAGGTGTCATTTGAGATGACCCTAACGATTGTAATGAATTAAGCGAAATAATGTCATTTGAGATTACCCTAATGAACATAATGAAATTGTGAAATACGATTAATAAATTGTTTTGTTTATGAACATGATGACTTATGATGAAGTATTAATTTCCAGTTAATTATTAATTGTTAGGTTGATTACATTTAGTTCTAAATATTTTTTTTTATACAATTTTACTGTTTTTTAATATTATATATTAATATTTTAATAATTAATATTATTATTATATTTTATAATAAATTTTTGGATCGCTTGTATGTTAGGTTTTATTAATGAAAATGATGATATTATTATGATGAAGTATTTAGTTAAATATTTTGCCTTTGTTAATTACATCTAGTTGTAAATATTTTGTTTTATACAATTTTACCTTTATTTTTAAATAGTTTATATTTAATATTTGTTTGTTCGCTTGAGTGTAGCATCTCTCAAATTAAACAAATTCAGCCAGACCTGAATCATTATATTATATACAATATTTAGAATAGTAATGTATTAATAGTCGAAATGCAAATTATTTTCATACTAGAAATTTTTCCTTGGTTACAAAACGAAATCAAATTGTAAAATTAATTAATGTCAGGAATGTAATATTATTATAATGGTTAATAACGTTGCGTAATCTTGTTGGTTATTGTAAAAAGATAATTATTATTCATATCATTTTGAATATGATAGGCGAACAAAGGGACTTGTTCGAGAAGGATGGCCGATTGTAACAACACGTATTGTTACTTCTCTTCATTAATTATTTTATATACATTATTTTAAAATTATATTCGTCACTGAGTTGTCTTTGGCTGTGACAGATGCCAAAGACAACTTTACTTTATTAATTCTCGGAAAAGTCGCAACTACTGCAATAGTATTTTTTCAAATAATAACTTGGCAACACTTACCGTGGACTTACTAATCTGTGCTTGGCCGAAATGGCCGGTCGGCCATCATTCGAGAACGAGCCGTCGTGCGGACAGGTACGTGAGTAAGATCTTGTACTAATTGTACTTTATTTATTGTAATTGATGTGACAGTGATTAATAAAACTGGTAACATCGCAATAATTGTTTGAATTGATGACCTTCCTTCTGAGGTGTTTTACATGTATCAACAATGTGAAAAAGAAAATATCAACCTTTCAAAATTTGGTTCACTTAACACTTTTGTCAAACAAACATGTTTATAGTTCAGCACGCAGCCAGTTGTTGCAGGTCTCTTGCGATGTATGAGAATGTTGGAATACAAGGGATTTTTTTGAGTACAGAATTAGGGGATAGGTCAGGGTATGCTGGCTGTGTTTATTGTTCGTGGGATTCGGGGCACGCGCGATACAAAGCTCCGGTGCGGGCGAATCGACTGCCGAATGTTAAGTAATTCCTGACGGCGCCTGATTCGTATGTTACACAGTTCCTTGTTTTGGTACGTTAGTTTGGAGCCCGGCCTTTGAACTGTGTTTGTTAGGAAACTAAATGTTACAGAACGATTGCGCACTTATACGTTTTGTGTAATCAAATGATTGTATTACTTATCTACTTACCTATATCGTATCATACGCCACTTCAGTGTTAAAGTAGATACTGTAGTGGTAATGAATATGATAGTGGCGCCAGAAGATAGATAGACGTTTTACAAAAAATAAAATAATTCGAGAAAATGAATATTTATTCGCACGAGTCACGTTTACGTAATGAGTACATTGATTAGATGACGTTATTCATTTGCAAGCCAGCGATGACGTAATTGACGGTCAGCGAGAGGATGGCGGGGAGAATGTACATGCCGACTGGTAAGGACTCCATCAGCTCTATACTGAGGGGCTCCACGGAGACCAGTCGGTGGAAATCCTTCAGATTCTGGAATTTCTCCGAATTTGCATCTGAAATAAGATTAATTAAAAAAATAGCGTTAAGAGTCGCATCTCAAATAATGTTTTTGATTGTATAAATCCTCAATTATTTCATCACGCCCGTAGAATGGATTTTCAAAATACTATAACGCGTGTTCTTTTATTTCAATTAAGTCGAAATACCGATTTCCCAAGCGGTTTACGTTTATACAACTACGGATTTTTGTACTAACCTTAATATTTTTTTAAATAACGTAACACTGTTGCTTACGTTATAACGTAAATTAATTAAATTGACTGAATGTTTATGTTAGTATGGAATAAATATATCGAGAGTCTACAGAAACATAGGCAATTATATTATGTATCCGAACCAGCGCAGTTTATTTAATAAAGTCGTGGAATTTGATTTAATAAATTCACAATAATTCGTGGAAAAAAAATTGTTCAACAAATCAGAAAAACATTCCATTTAATTCAACTCTTGTTTCAAAACATTGAAAAAATAGCGTTTTTTATTAAAATGTTATGTTATAGTAGTTGAATAAAGAAAAGGAAAAGAATACATTACCTGGGGAATATTTGTAACAAAATTGTGCTAATATTCTTTTGAGACTTAATACTTCGTTCCTTACTGCTTGTCCACACCTGGATACGGTGACAACTATGGTGATATAATGAAATAGCGCCACAACAAACTAAGTCCTCGGGTAATCCAGAATTGATCCTAAAAGCAGAAAAGTCTTGATAAATTCTATTTGTTATGTCATTAAGAAATAAGATTGTAATTTATGGTTTACACTTACATTTTTAATGAATGAAAATAGTAATATACAGTGTGTCCGGGCATGTAGTGATCAAACTTTAAAGGCGTAATCTGTGAACAATTTTATCGATGAAAATACTTCAAATTTGGGGCTTGACCCATTTCTCGAAAAATTACATCGATTTAAGTTTTTAATTTTTAGTTTACACCTCTTCTTTAAAAAACAAGTGAAAGCGTCGGTAGCTTAACATTAATAGGCAAATATTTTATATCATGCGATAGCCAATAAAATTATCTATTAGTAGAAGAAGAAAACAGACACAAGATTCATACATTTTATGGGAGTAAGAATGGATTTAATTAGAAAAATACATTACTTTTTTCACTTCTCTTTCAGTTATTTTCGAACACAAGGAAAACCAGGTCGTTAAGGTATGTTTTATTTGCATTGTATTTTTAAATAATAGGTTACAGAATAAACTGGATCTATCCGAAAATTCAATGTTTCCAGCTTCCATACATTTGGTAAAGTCACATTATTTTAAAAACTACACATGATATCGTAAAACTGATTATTGATTCTAAAAGTGCTTCACAAGCTCTATCCAATGGTATCAATATTAGGTTACAGAATAAACGGGATCTATCCAAAACTTCAATGTTTCGTTCTTCCATACATTTAGTACTACCACAGCCATGTTACTCATCTCTTGACAATATTATAGCAAGTAAAGCCTAAAACTAATGTTTATTATGAATAATTTTAAAGAAGAATACAATTTACGAGTTTATTTTAAGAGTTTATTATTCAATAAAACAAAATACACTTCTAATATTGTGTGTCTGGCATACATTTAGTATGGAAGCTGGAAACATTGAATTTTCAGATAGATCCAGTTTATTCTGTAACCTATTATTGGTACCGTTTGAAAGAGCTCATGAAGCACTTTCAGGATCAGTAACCAGTTTTTCAATATCTTGTACAGTTTAGAAATAATCGAGTGAGATCACTTAACGTTTCCACCCTGTATGTTGGCGATGACCTTTTTTTTTTCGTCGGGAAATGCTTTGCGCATACCCACTGGTCTATGGGGACGGCCAGTGGGTTATGTGGGACTCTCCCCGCCTACCCACTAAATGCGTGGCCTACCCACTAAAACCCGACGGTTTCCACCAGAGCCTAAAGAAACGGAGCTTCGAGTTATTGACCTGGTTGGACATTCGTCCGCAGCTCCGCCTCTGGCTTCGAGGGAACTCCCAATCTCGTCCTCCAGTTGTTTTTTAAAGAGGTTTTCTCCTCGCGGCGCGTACAACAGGACCCCCGGCCCGCCGTAGCGGGTTATGGCCGCTGCTCGGTCAGCTCTGCTGATCAGAGAAGTACCAAGAGCGGCCCTCCAAAGAATGGGCCCGGGCAATCGCACCGCCAGCCCCCACCTGTGGGGGTTTTTAAAGATGTCCCCTGCATTGTGGCCCGGGTAAATGCCTCGACGGCCCCCGTCCCACTCAATTCTGGGTTACGGGTTGCCCGACAGGCTCGCCGAGTTGACGAGACCTGCCGCGTGAATATACCACGCGGACGTTACCTAGGGTGCACCACGATGAGGCCCCTAAATCTTGGCGATGACTCTACCATGCCCTTGATTCAAATACTCGTACTGAAAATAAGCGGAATTTTGAGAAGGGTAGAAATACTCACTTGATGAGTGAAACACTTTTTCATTGGGTGAGTACACCCGAGCAACATGTGGTACACAGTGGCCAAACTATTCAAGTCATTTTCAAGCCCGCCCCCTTCTATTAAGTCATAGATAAAAATCCTTATTGCTTTCAACATACGTGCTATTATGGCAAGCAGACAGCAATACAAAAGAGGTATAATCACATGACGAGATTCAAACCAGGTTTCCGATAAGTAAAAAAAAGCATATGCAATATATTTTGAAATTGGACAAGTATCATTGTAGCACTGTAGTTTTACCATAACAAACATTCCTACATCTACTAATATCCTACAGCCCCAAAAGCATAAAATTATGCAAGTGCATTTAATCTTAAGTTTTGTAAGAAATCTATTATACGGCGCATGACATTTTACTATCATATGGGAATAATGTAAGTTTGTTATAAGCAACTTGAACTCTTTTCCATATCTAGGAGCACTACACAAAATTAATAAAATGCTTTGGAAAGTGTTCACAGTGTAGAAGCTAATTTTGGTGCGCATTTGTGTAGGGCTGGGATTGTAATACGTAACAATGAAACTATAGTTGCTATAAGTAACTGGTGCACAGATTAACGGTGACTTCGAATAGCAATAGAATAGTGACAAAAACGCGCTTCTTTGTCGGCAGATACAAGTAATCCCGATGGATATTCAAACATTTTTCAACGGAATACAGAAATTTTAATGCCGGAAAATCCTCCAATAGGCATAACATGACGTGCGT